TTTGCAGGAAAATTATCATAGAATTAGGTCTGTCAAACATCTATCTGGTTCAATGGATCCAGCAAAAGAATTTCAAAGAATTAAGGATATGCATATAAGGTCCGTGTATCAGTGGGGGAAAACACCCTCTGAACAAAACTAGAATACATCTTCAGTGATAAACCATTTCTTCCTAGAAGGCTGTAATCAGCAACATTTTCCATCACATAGACATAAGTCACTGGAAACACTCTGAATGGCCCTAAAAGGTTGTTATTAGGTTGCTTTTGTAATGATAAAAATTGGAACAGCCTAGGGTGTACCAAGCCAGAGCAGAGGGAACTTGGTATAAACCAAGATAAGTTAATAACCCAAATGTAGGACGTGGTGATCTCTAGGTGTAAAATAAGGAGTGAGTTTTTACCCTTTAGCCTTTCTTGGTACTTTTTTCATATCTTTCAAAATTTATTTTCCACTATGGACATATATGATCACTATAGAAAACGAAAAACTAATAAAAAATCTAATATACATGCAATGGTGAAAACAGGTGAGTGTTCTGGGCAAGGAACTTACTCAAGAGCCTTCAGTGTTCTATTCTGCAAAGGGAGGTGAGAAGTAAAGATAATGCTCACAGTTCCCTTCTCATTCTAAAATTCTAAATCCATTTACTCAGTAAACAAAGGATTAAATATATCCCTTGCAACAACCTGGCAATAAAGAATGGCTGTTCCTCCCTCCCATAACAAACTTTTCAAGTGTCTCCGAATATTTCAGAAGTTAACATGAAACTTGAAATAACCTGTTGTCGGAAACTTGAATCTAGAACAATCAGAGTTGGAACACTGTTTACACACAAAACGCAAGTTAATAATGAAGAAAAAATAAAATCAGCAAATTAGACTAATGCTTCTTGGGAAAAATACTAATATCAGTTAATCTACCCCAACAACAACATGCAACCTGCTTATGACTGCAACGCTGAAGGAGGATTACAAGAAGGGCTCCCCCGTACTCGCCGCATGCTTGCCCTTGACGCTACTTGCTTTCTGAGCGCTGACTTACCCTGTCAGATGCATACACGGCAATCGAATAACCCAAGGAGGGTGAGCGGAAGATGCCCCACAAGCTGGACATTGACCACGCAATCAGAGGCTTAGGAAAATCTATAAAACAGCCCACAAATTCCCTACAGAAATGGAACCACACAATCATGAAATGTGCCAAAGCAGCATGACTGAAGCATGGGCAAGACGGTCTGACTCTGAGATAAAGCCTTCTGTCAGGCTGGGTATTCCACTGCCACCACCGGCAGCACTCCCTGTCCCTGCACTTCCCTTGATCTTCCGCACCGGATTCATTCCAGGTGAATCCATTGAAATGGCAGTGGATGGGAAACCAACCAGAGAGAGCTAACGGTCAGCCCTGGTTTTTTTTTTTTTTTTTTTTGAGACGGAGTTTTCGCTCTGTTGCCCAGGGCTGGAGTGCAGTGCGGATCTCAGGCTCACTGCAAGCTCTGCTCCCGGGTTTACGCATTCTCCTGCCTTAGCCTCCCGAGTAGCTGGGACTACAGACGCTCGCCATCTCGCACCGGCTAGTTTTTGTATTTTTAGTAGAGACGAAGGTTTCACCGTGTTAGCAGGATGGTCTTGATCTCCTGAACTCGTTTGACTCCGCCGGTTCTCGGCTCCAAAGTGCTGGGATTTACAGCTTGGAGCCACCGCCCCGGCCCAGCCCTGTGGGTTTGAATCCTGTATTCTGGACAGCGAGTTCAGGGCTGTAAACCAGCCGCAGTCTTAGAGATGAGGTTGGGTGACTGAGCACACGCTGCAATATCACAGCAAGTGGCAATGACAGATTTGGCAGGAAAAAAGAGGAAAGCCTTCATGACGTCCTCCTGTGTTTTATAAGACTCCTCCGAGTCTCCTACTTTCAGCATTCATGGAAATCGCCCATTCCGCTGGCTGGATGAGAATTTGCTACATTCCTCTACCTCAATGCAAGATAATTTTGTTTACAACTATAGCTCACTTTTATGTTTTCCAGTCAAATATCATGAGACCAGCAGGATGAACAGGTAACAGAGGTCAAAGACAGAGAATGAATGCCCACCTATGGATGGAGGCAGTTTAGAGAAATATGCTTGTCCAAAGTCACAATTAACTGCACTGACACAGAGAAGTAGATATTTCACTTTTGCTCAACTAAATACAATTTTGATGACTAAGAATGGGCCCTCTGGGATCACAGGAAGGTCAGTTACTCTTACCTCAGTAAGACGGCACCATTTTTAGCTTTCTCCTCTACTCCACCAGGGGGAATATCAGTGAAGTTAGTCAGGTCATTCCCACTACTGTAATAGTCACCATTTCCTATAAGTAAGAAAATCAACAGATCCCTCATTCATTCATCCTATAATTCTTCAGTATCTACTGCATGCAAAACTCTATGGTTAGGCACGGGAAATACACTGGACAACCAGCGATGGTTCCTGCCCTAACTTACAAACTAGTGAGTACACTGGACACTGATCTATAAAAACACACAGATAAATGTAGCTAATGCCACTGCTGAAATAGAGGAGAGGTGCATCATGAAATGAGGGTATGTACCAGGAGGGTTGCTCTAATCAGGGAGTTCAGGAAAGAACTTTCCTAAGGAAGGGACAACTGAACTGAGATCTGTGCAAAGGCTCTTCGGAGAGGTTATCCCCAGTGTAGATGAAATAAGAGCCACTGTAGCTGACTCAGAGAAAGCCAGGGGGAAGCTGGTGCACGGTGTGCACTGGCAGAATACACCTGACGGTGCTTTGTAGATCCCATGAGGAAGTTTTTCCTTTATTCTAAGAGCCATTGAAAGTGTGCTTCTGAGTGTGTGTGTTTAATTAAAGTATAATTTATATATAATAAAACAACCAGTTCTTAATTGTTCATTTAGTTGTTTTGATATTTTTAAATACCCACAAGATCACCATCCAAAACAAGATACAGAACATCTCCATCACCCCAGAAGTTTCCCGTAGGCTCCTTTCTAGCCATCCCATCCCACCTGCTCCAAGGCAATCACTTTCTTTTTTTTTTTTTTTTTTTTTGAGACGGAGTCTCGCTCTGTCGCCCAAGCTGGAGTGCAGTGGCGCGATCCTGGCTCACTGCAAGCTCCGCCTCCTGGGTTCACGCCATTCTCCTGCCTCAGCCTCCCGAGTAGCTGGAACTACAGGCGCCCGCCACTGCGCCCGGCTCATTTTTTGTATTTTTAGTAGAGACGGGGTTTCACCATGGTCTCGATCTCCTGACCTTGTGATCCGCCCGCCTCGGCCTCCCAAAGTGCTGGGATTACAGGCGTGAGCCACCGCGCCCGGCCGGCAATCACTTTCTGACTTCAATTTCCACAGAGAAGAACTTCTGCCTACTGTAGAACTTTCTACAAATGGACTCATACAAATATGTAAACTCCTGTCTTTATTTTGCTGAACTGCGTTTTAAAGATGCATCCATATTCTTGTATCATTTATTCTATTTTATTGCTGAGTACTCCATTGTACAAATAGTCAACTATTTGTTTACTTATCCATGTGTTTTTGAACATTTGAGTTGTTTTCTGGTTTTGGCAGTTATAAATCAGGTTACCATGAGTGCGCCTGTAAAGTCTTTTTGTGGACATTATGTGTCTTAATTTATGTTGGGTAATTGCAAAGAAGTGGGTATCTGTGGGTTTTTAAAAATATTTTTTGTATATTTATAAATCAGAGTATGACAGTACTGGAAAAGAACTTAGAGTTTTAATTATTTATTTATTTTTTGAGACAGAGTCTCGCTCTGTCGCCCAGGCTGGAGTGCAGTACTCTGACCACCTCCTACTCTGCCCACACTAGATAAGCCTCAGCACCTCCTCTGAGTTCCCTGCTGCTTCGTACTTTCTACCCTCCTCCTCTTTTGAACATGATAGTCCTCTGTTAATTCCAAAAGCTCCAGGAATATTTCTTTCTTGTTCCCTTTTGGAAAAAAAGTGGTTCGCGATCTCAGCTCACTGCAACCTCCACCTTCCGGGTTCAAGTGATTCTCCTGCCTCAGCCTCCTCAGTAGCTGGGATTGCAGGTGCGTGCCATCACGCTTGGCTGATTTTTGTATTTTTAGCAGAGATGGGGTTTCACCGTGTTAGTCGGGCTGGTCTCGAACTCCTGATCTCGTGAGCCATCCGCCTTGGCCTCCGGCTCTCAGAGCTTTTTAACTCAATTTCCTATCTATTAAGACGCCCCTCAAAATAGGAATTTAATTAGGATGTCTGAGAAAATCTCTTACCTGTTAAAACAGTGATGGCTGAGTCATCCTTGCTGGCGGCTTTAAGTGCATGCATAATTTCATGGTACATCTGTGTAATGGGAAGACAAGGAAAAGAAAAGAACTCTGAACACAGGAATCATCCATCAGTGGATTCACTAAATGTCAGGCTGGAAGCCTGCTCTCAGCAAAGTGCCTAACATTTATTTTGGCTGTATTTTATAACCAAAAAAGGTGGACCGATACACCTGAAAGAATTTTCATTCCTTTTACAATTACTTGGTGCATATTATGTACCTGGTGCTATGGTAGGAGCTGCCGGCTATAAACCACTTTTTTTCCAAAAGGGAACGAGAAAGAAATAGTCCTTGAGCTTTTGGAATTAACAGAGGACTATCATATTCAAATGAGGAGGGGGGTGCAAAGCCTGAAGCAGCAGGGAACTCAGAGGAGGTGCTGAGGCCTATCTAGAGAGGGCAGAGAGAGAGGTGGTCAGAGAAAACTTTCTACAAAGCAACGTCCCTGTTGTGACCTCAAGGAAGCCCCTGGCAGTCTGGGAAGTGTCTGGCTGGAATTTTCAAGACACTGTAATGGTATTC